ATTAAATTAGATTTTAAATTAAATTAAATCAATAAATAAATAAAAATTGAATAAATAAATAAATAAAAAATAAATAAAAATATTCTACATGATTATGTTAATTATAAATACAATTATACAAATTATACGATAGTAAAACAAAATAGTAGTTCGAGCTCAGCTTAGCTCAAGCCAAAATTTATTAAAGCTCGACTCAGCTTATTTGTTTCGAGCTAAGAATTATTATAGCTTAACGAGCTGAGCCATAAGAAATTTGTAACTCAGCTCAGTTTAGCTCAGTACATTTTTTCGAGTCAAGCTCAAGCCAAATCTTAGCTCAGCTCAAGTCAGCTCATGCGAAGCTTTACTTGGAACTGTTTTTTTATTTTTTTTTTATAGTTTATAAAAAAAAATATTTAGAAAGCAAAAAATCTTTCAATAAAAAAATAATTCTAAATATTAATAATGATAATTTAGCGAAATTAAATTATATATTGATTAGTTGTTTAATTATAATATATTTAATATTTATTATTAATTATTTTTCAGTTAATTTTTTTTCATTAAATTATTAAATATTCTGGATTTTTGTAAAATTTTTCTTCTTTTTTAATAAATTAACTTTATAATATTTTTTTCCCTTTTTTTCTAGAAACTCCTTCTACTAATTTCGGGTTAAAGAGGTAAATATTTTGGGAGAGGTCTTAAAAGTTTTTTTTATATATTTTTAACATTTTTCTTATGTAGGAATGGGTTTTAATCGATTTTAATCAGTACTGCGCCACATAATTGATGATTGGCAAATTCTGCAAATCAGCGGATATAACATTATATTATATTATATTTACTCTAAAAGTAGGGTTCTTTAAAATCAAATCAAATATAAAATTAATTTAAATTTATCAAATCAAATTAAATTCAAATTAAATTTAAATCAAATATCAAATATTTGTCAAATTGACCAATTAAATTAAAGAATTTTCAAATCAAATCAAATTCAAATTAAATGTCAAATGTCAAATCAAATTGTAAAATCCTACTTAAAAATATGACTTATAACTTGTATCTGAAATCCTATATACATATTTTATTAGTAATATATTATATTAGATCTTTTAAAATTTAAATTTTACTTTTAATATACTTTTAACATTTTCTTATCTCTTAATAAACCATAAGCAATTGCAGGCAAATTTGCCGCAATTTTACCAAATTTCAGCTCTTATCTAATTTTATGAAAAATAAAGCAATTTTAATAAAATTTTTTTTCAAAATAGTTTAAATTATATATTGTGCAGCAATTATTATCATTTATTAATTATATATTAGAAAATCGAAAATTACCTATTGGCCAAAAGTTGTATTTTAAGATAATTACAAAATTTTAAAAAACTTTGTACTCAACTTTGACGATTTCATTGATAATTAATTGTAGCTATATAAAAGCTTAATAGAATATGTAGAATTTGGTATGAGAAACAACTTTTGTTAATATGATTTTTGATGTTTAAAAGTAGGATTTTGACTTTATATAAAACCTTAATAAAATTTTATTATGCATTTTAATTATATATTTATAAAAATTGATTTTTTTTATTTCTATTTGTTTATTATAATGCAAAATTTTTATAATGAAAATAAAAAGTTATAATAAATATTCAAATAGAGAAAAAATATGGTAAGAAAAGTTTAGATTTTATTATATAAAAATTCTGATACTATTTTTGCGAGTTAATTTCTCATCCAATTTTAATGATCAACTGCATATCTAACTCATACAATTTATGGCCAGAATGTAGATCAATTTGACTGCAAAATTATGTGATGATCTGGCCAAAATTAAAGAATTTTTTATAGCATCATTTATTCTAATTTAGAAATTGTGAGCAAATTTGCCCGCAAAACAGTTTAAGAAATAGTTTTTGTATTTTATATATTACATAAAATAATTTTAGCATAATAAAACTTGTAAATAATTAAATAATTTGAAAGCTATAACTAAAATAATTAAAGCAATTAAAAAATATTAATTATTTTAATATATTAATTCGTGATCTGTCTCTAAATTAGTGAAAACTACTAATAAATTTCGGAGAACTGGTTTTATAAATTAATTATCCCTTAAATAGCTTTTGAGCTGATTTGCCCAGATTTTTTTTAAGAGTTATCTAATAATGTTTCAAGTATATTGAATGATAAATTTGCACCATCAGATATTAATATAACAAGTTTGATCAATATATACTTGCCATTTAAGGGGCACAGTTAAAGCGGAGCTAATGTGACTCAGAAAATTTTCTGGATTTCCCAATGTGGTACATGCAGTAAAATATTTACCCATGGCGCCCAGCTGGCTCAACATTGAGCTGTGGCTGAGCTTGGAAGGTCTTTCGTAAATGTGGCGAGTACTGGCACGAGCTACACAGTCGTGAAGGACTGGCCCTGCCACACCACAGCGACATTGTTGTGACAGCTGGGCCACTGTGAGTAAATATTTTCCCGCTATGTGCTGTCAGAAGAATCCAGTACAAAATTTTTTGAGCCATTGCAGCCCTGCTCCACTTTAGCCATGCTTTATTTAAGATTACGTTATTATACAAATTGGCGATATTGCCTAAAAAGTAACCAGCCAAATTTGTATTACAACCCAGCTGAAAAATAGGGGGAATCAAGATCCATCAAAAAATTTTTGCATTGAACGATTAGTTAAATTCAATACAAGAGTGGGACAATCACAAAATTGATATTTTTTTATTAAAATATTATTTATATGCTGGTAAATAATTTATTTAAAGGTTATAAACAAGAAAAAACAAAAAAAAAAGTTTATTTCTATTAAACACAGGTTGTCTAACTTATCATACTATATTTTGCGGTGTATCTAGTAATTTGAATAGTTGATACTTTTGGAATGTCAGTTCTTCTAAACAAGTTCATTTCACATTTCCTGCATCTGAATTTCCCACTAAATTAATTTGCAAAATAATTCCCCAAAATGTGTTAGTAGATTTCACTGGTTTGGAGACGGATCACGAATTAAATATTAAAATTATTAAATAATAAATAAATCTCATATTACATTTCATTTCTATCTTTGAACTTTACATGAAATTTTATAAACTATTTCTTTATCTTTACCCAAGTTGAATTTTTGATTTTAATCCTTTATTTGATGGTATGATCATAAAACCATTTCCATTTATCCTTCTATTTTAGTACTTACTTCTACTTCAAGTGAAAGGTTATTTGGTGATTCTGAAAATTTATTACAGCAAAAGAATGTGAAATCCTGATAAATTATCTTAAAGAAAAATGCATCATTATACGGTATTAGATATTTGCGGATTTTAATGCGATCTGTTGGTTATTTACGTGTAATTCACAAATCACTTATTAGGTTATATAATAATCATCTGGATTATTTTTTTTAGCCGACGGGCAAATAATCCGGTTAAAAAATGCGGTTATAAAGGTTATAAAGGAATCTTCGCTATAAAGGTGGGAATGCCATCATAGTCACCGAAGCGAAAAAAAGATGACAATCAAGGAATCGTGCTGTAATCCATCAAAAAAGAACTTACAAAAACGCAGAATTGCATGGAAACGTAATGTACGGGATTGTCAACAAGTTAAAATTCCCTATTCACATTCTTGTGTATATTCCTTTTGAATAAGATATCATGTTAACGGGGAATTTATAATATCTGTGATTGGGTGATAATCAAACTGACTCCAACAATAACAGTGAAGGGAAGGTGAATGTATTATTAAGTTTGTTGTCACGCATCACTATTTTATACTTACTCGAATTCTAACATCATTAAATCTTATCTAAGAACTTTCTTAAGCAGATTAAAGTATTGTTCAATAGTAAGATCAAAACATGCATATAAAAACAGACGAATAAGATAGGAAATAGTGTTAGGATAGAAAATTCAAAATGTGCTTTGAAACAAAGCCAGAGCCAAGTTTTTTTTCAGTTATTTTACAAAAATAATAAAATAGTACGCTAATCATTATAACTTATTTCCTCAAGTATTTTCACGGTAGACAAACTAGAGATGTTCAGTCGGTCCTGTGGTCTTTGATCGGTCCTGATGGTCTTTAGAAAATTTTCGGAAAAGTGATAAGGCTGTGCTCCCATTTTTTGTGGCACAACAGAACTGGTTAAAGACCGAAAAGTGGTAAGTTTTGGTCTCAATCTAACCACCCAATTCAGAACTAGGCAGATTTTTATTTTACCAAAACCAGTATTTGTTGCTTTTTTCGCCTCCGCTAATCTTAAAAAAGAAGTATAAAGGCCGAATTTTGACATTTGTTGGTCTTTAGCCATACTTGCTGCGTCCCAAAAATTCAAGGGTGCATTCCTTATAACTTTCCAAGACCGACTAACCATCTCTAAGACAAACGACAAACTATTTTCCAATGAATTGAAAACAATATAGTTTTTATTAGTAATTATAAAAAAATAAATAAATTATGCAGTTGATTACATTTGTATTGTGAATAGCAGATTCAGCTCCACATTATAGTGATGAGAAATTTACATGTGAGAGTTTTTTTGTTGAAATACAGTTCAACCAGTACTGATTACAATACCATTTGTATAGCGAATTACAATTAATAAATTAGTTTTTTTAATTTTAATTCGCTATACAAAAAGCTTTGACATAGTAAGGTTGAACTGTATGAAATTTGGGAAAGGGAATCACAATGTGTGCAGAAAAACTGCTGAAGTTGAAACCAAAAAAATTTTAATCTCTGTCATCTCGGTCCCAACTATCTAAAGCATCAAAGGCTTTTCTAAAAGAATCTTTGAAATCATTTAGACCCTCTGGAAATGACGTTTCAAATTTTTCTCTCATTTCCTCCGGATCTAGTCGTTCTCCTTGATGAAACTCGGCATTGCTCTTTTTCTTCAAAATCATCATCAACTCGATGTCTTCAACAGTCATATTAATTTCTTGTAAAAAATTTCGCAACTTTGAAATATATTCTTCTTCATTTTGCTTAAAATTTACTTTGTTGGTTCTAAGCTTTCTATTGATAGCAGCTTTCACTTTAGCCCATACGTCGGTACCCAATCTTGCTTTAACTGCTTCAAAAAATTCGGAGATAAAATCTCTGTAAACGGATAAAGCTTCCATATTTTCCAACTTCTTTATAACTTCTTCTAAAAGAACCAAAATATCATTGGTTGATTTTTTATGTTGTTCTATTATCTTACTAACATTCTCTGTGCTTTCGTCTAGTTCCACCCAATTCTCTGAAATTTTACATTTATCCCAATCTTCAATGTTATCCCACATCAATTTTTTAATGTCTTCTTGCAAAGAAAGTTTATTTTTTAACAAACACCCTAGTTTTGAATTATTATGCTTAAAGTCGTTCAACCTTGAAGTATACATATTTAAAGAGTTTGAATTTGTACCAGATTGTATAAGCCTATTTAATGGCGTGAGTTTTTGTTTTGGACTATCGCAAATGAATATGACCACGTAAAATACTATTGTTAGAATCATATGGTAATTTGCCAATTGCCATAGTAATACTAGTATCGGGCTTTGCTCACATGACTGACATCATACCCATCGCAGATCGCATTTCAATTTTGTGGGCGCGGTTTGTGTCGATCTTCACCATATAAGGAACATGTGACATTTAAGTGTCACTTATCACGTGCAGCCACGAAGTTCAAAACATTAAGGGAGCGTGTAGTCACGTGATTTATAATAAGACTATCAATGGCGCAAAAATTTAAAATATGAAGCTCAAGAACAAAAGTACTTTAGTTTGAATAATTGTATTATTTTATTATTATTTTTGTAACATGTGAAAACATAACTATAGAATACAAATATATTAAATTAATTAATAATAAAATGCTTTTTGTTAAAAAAATAATATTATGTCTAGTAGAGAGATTCTAAACTTTCACTAAGCGATTCACAACCTTTTTGGAACTTCTTTTGATATTTTCTCCAAAATATAATATTTGAGTCTAAATAAAAACTATACCTGGTAAACTTTTGTCAGGTTCCAAAAGGTAAGAAAATAATATATTTTTTTTAATATTTAGTAATTTATTAGATATGGATGTTCTGAATAGCACAAAAAAATTTTTGCACCATGATAATCAATTAAAAGTCACGTAATTACACTCTTTCCTTAAGTATCTAAAAGGCAAAAATTACCTTCTTGACTCTTCTCGCATTACTTTCTTGACCCAGTCAAAATATACATGATTATGTATGACAAAAATGTTCCTTTCTTGACCTGAAATGTGATATGTGATAAACAAAAAAGAAATATTTTATTTTTTATTTATATTTAACAAAAATAGCATGCAATTTATCTGTCTTTTGCGAGTTGTGAAGCATGGTCAATATTTTTTTATTTCTATAATATTGATAAAATTAAAATAATTTTATTTTATTTATAAAAGATAGCTGATAAATAGATTACATTTAAGAGAAATACAGTTAAACTTTGATATAGCGAACTCTTGATATAATGAATTTTTCAGACAACTATAATAAATTTCCCTTGTTATAACAAATTAACCAATTAAATCTCTTAAAATCTTCACTATAGTCTTATAGTGAAGTTAAGATCTGGACCCTAGGGTTCGTTATAACAAAAGTTGACTGTATATTAATTAGGTAATAAATACTAGCATAAAACTAAATATTAAAATAAAAAAAATAATAAATTATTTTGACATTAATCATTAATAATAAAAAAATTTAATCTCTTTGTGTATATTTCTTGAAAAATTATGAAAATAAGAAAAATAATAACGTATTAATATTTTTTTACAGATCAAGAAAAGAACATTTTTGTCATATATAATTATGCATTTTTAATCAAGTCAAGAAAGTAATACCAGGAGGATCAAAAAAGTAATTTTTGCATCTGAGGGATTTAGTTTTTTTTTAGTGTCAAAAATTTATTTATCATCCTGTGACACAAAAAACTATGCTCACAAAACTGGGTACTCGCAGATTAGAGTTATAGTTCAGTCATGTTCATGACCAATAGGAATTAATATTCTTATGGACAAGATATAAAAAAATTCTGGAACACAGAAACTCAAACACATGATCATTTTTCTGAAAAATTTTTTATATACAATGATATTAGATCATATTTCATTTATTTTGATATAAATATAATAAATCTGACATTTAATATGGTGCGTACAGTCTAAAGCTACCACTTTTTTATTTTTTGGCCAAATTTTTATAAAATCACGTAAACAAATTTCATTGGTCAATATTTACTTATCATATATATATATAGGTGGGTTTTTAGAATAAAATACCAATTGTTTAGCTAGAATTAATATTAATTCTGGCTAAAATGATTTATAAATTCATATTATCAGAAAGAATCTGTTATTTTATTATATATAAAATTGTGATACCCATTAAATTTTTTCTATATTCATTAAGAATAATAAACATATATTTAATTTGTTTTAAAAAAGAATAAAGTTTAAACATAAATAATTTCCATTCAGTTATTTTAAACAAAAATATTTTTATATTAATTCTTAATTTAAGACAGTTTATAAATTTTGGCCTGCATTATATTAGTATTAAACTGGCCAAATTTAGGATTGTGAAAATTACGTACTTACGTTACATAAGTTACGATACATGTAAATTACACTGTAAGTTACATCAACCCCTTGTAACTTACAAATATTATAATATATGATTAATTCCTATTGGTCATATTATGTGATCAAACTTTTCCAAATTAACGCATGAAATAAAATAATTTATCAACTTTATTTATTTTCTCGAGAAATTACATTTTAACAATTATTTTTTAAAATTAATCATTAATTTTAGAAATTGGAATAATTTTACTTACTAAAAATATTATTTCCTAATTATTCCGATATCAGATATTATTTCCGAAACCTCCCAATGTAATTTACATGTAACTTACAAACTTAAAATGTAACTTACATCAAAATTTTTTAAGATACTGTAATTTTACAACCCTAACCAAATTCCTTCAAATTTATTCAAAACATAGTAAAATAACCAAAATTAAAACTTATATATCTTATGCTATAGTAATTCAATTTGAAAAAACTTTCTGTTATATAAAAGTATACTGTTTAAACTACAATATTACAGAAAGTTTTTTTAAAAAATATTGATTAAATTTTTTTTTCTATTCATTTGAAATCACATAATAAAAAGTGGTGGCTTTAGACTGTATGCACCATATGAAAATATGTATAATTGGTAAATAATCCATTGAATTCTTTGAAAATTTCATTATCAATACCTTTTATAATTTTTTATATTATAAAAAACAGAGAATTTTTAAAAATTTTTATTAGTAATAATAAATTTCAATAATAATAATAAAAATTTTTTAATCTTTGTCTATCCTATTTCTAGTGTTCTACACGAATCGATTCATGACACGATATGACCCTGATTGTTCCTAAATAATAAAAACGTATTTCACGAATAACTTTTAATTTAGCAGTCCGATTTTGATGATCTTTTTTTATTTTGATCAGAGTAACGAGACCTATCAATTAAAAAAATGATTATTAAAATTGGATCACTAGATCCTGAGATAATAATTTTTGAAGGTTAAATCGAGTCTGAATCAAGTCTGAATCAAATTGAATTTCAGAGAAGAAATTTGATTCGTGTAGAATACTACCTATTCCTAAAAAATAATACATATATTAATAAGATTTTTTTAATAGAATTTTGCTAACTTGCTCCTTTAGGTTAAATAATTTGGATTAAATCCTCTCAATGTCAGACAAAAATTTTAACATCCATTTTCCAGATAGGACATTTGCCTGACATCACTTACATTAGTTTTAATGCTAGTTAAAGTTGTTAAAAAAGTGTTCTGTTAGAAAATCATCTTCCTATAAAAAATTTTTATCTGAATATTTCCATTATTTTTCTGTGTCTTCCATAAAAATTTTGTGAAAATGATATATTCATGGATATCTGTGTTAGCGAGATGAAAATTTCTATGATTTAAGACTATAAATTCCATTAAAATGATACATTCACAAAAAAAACATGAAAAGATAAAATACAGATCAGATTTTTTACAAGATTTGTTGGAAAATCATAGTATAACCAAATCCTCTCTTTCCTTTCTAAAATTTATATTTATATGATTTTTTACAAATGCAAAGAAATTTTTTTTTAATCAAATTTCAATTTTTATCAGAAGTAAAATTTTTTTTTTAGATTTGTATAATATTATATGATATAAATTGACTAATAAGAATGCATTATTTCAAGATATTATAAATAAAATATGTAATAAAATATTACAATTTTTTTTTTTTTTTAATGATTTATATATATCATACAAACAAATTATCATAAGCTATATTCACCCAGTAGGATGCAATCATTAAAATATTACAATTAAGTTTACTTAATATTTATAATAAATTTGAATTTATAATATAAGTATTTTATATTAAAAAAATAAAAATAAATTTTTTATAACTTTTGTTTTATTAATAAAAATAAATATATTTACTATGATATAGAAAAAATTTCCTTTTCTTAATATTTATTAGAATTAAAAATTAGGATTAGAGTTAGATTAAAAGTTAAATTAAAATTAAAATACTTGAATAATGGATAATATATATATATATATTTTTTTTTTTTCTGCAGCGCATTTGCAGTTTTATTAAAGTAAAAAAATAAAGAAAATACATACAAAGTAAAATTCTCTAATAACTACTCTAATATAATTAAACTACAAACCATAAAAATTTTTTATTTATTGATAAAAAAAAAATTGGAGAAAATATGAGAAGGAAATTTTTTTAGTTTAGGTTTCCACTTAATAATATAACCATAAATTCTAATTTTGGTATAACCTGAATGTCATATAGTAAGACAAGAAATTACACAATTTATAAACAAAAAAATAAACTATTTTTGGATATGTTGTACAGTTAATCATCGCTACACAAATATTTTTACATTTTAAAAATAGACAACTAAAAATAATAAATAATAAATTTCTAAACTAGGTAATTTTTTTTATTTTTTATACTCGTCATACTGGTAGTACCCCACGTGTGCATTGTTAAGTGATCGTTTGATTCTGTAAGTAGACTTCATTTAGTAACAGGTCATCTTAGCCATAAAGACCTTATCTTTAATGTCTGGTAATCACAGAACCCAATGGATAATATATTATTTAAACATTATTTATTAATAATATTATAAATTTGTTTTTATCTAATCTAATTATTTTTTAAATATTCATCAAATATTCATTAATATTCAGAATTTAATGGATTTTTCAGATAATGAATAATGATCAGATCAGATAAATGAATAATAGATATTTTTAAATTGGAATACTAATAAAGTGAAGTATAAAGAATGGCCAAAATATATTTATAGTATATGGCTTTATTACTATTAGTAAGTATAGTTCACATATTTTTCAATCTACTTTTTATTTCTCTTATATATTATTATAATCTCTTGTCTTTATTTTTAAGTAAATAATATAAGTTTCATTTTTAAAAAGCAGAATGAAAAAAAGTTAGCTTAACTCTGGTTAATATTAAGAATACAGTCGCCACTGGTTATAACGAACCTGTTTGTACTGAAAACTTGTTATAGTGAACTAAGTTTTACGGAACCAATTTTTTTATAATAAACTACATTGGATATAATGAAATCACATAATAAATTGCTATATACCGCATCCGAACTCATTATAGCTAGCCCAAATATATTAGCTGCATATTTAGTATACCGAACTGTCACGTGACTTATATGGGATAATATAAAAGATGATCGCGTCACCATTACACGTAAATACTTTTTCCAATTTCTGTTAGTCTGAATCGGATAAATTTCTTCAAAAGTTCTGATAATACTGACAAAGAGAAAAGGAGTTAGTCTTTCTGCTAAACAAAAGCACGAAATCTGTGAAATGAAAGAGAAAGACCCAACACTTTAAAATGTAGAACTTGCGCAAAAATATAATGTTGGGAAGTCTACAATTACTGACATTTTAAGAGAAAGTGACCGTTGGCTTACAATTACAGAAAGCAAAGAAAATACTAAAAAATTTCACAGACCAAAATGGCCACAACTGGAAGGTGCACTTGGTTTATGGGTTGACAACGCACTTAATACTAAACAAGATATTGATGGTAATATCTTAAAGGTAAAGGCAAGCTATTTTGCCGAACAGTTTTAAATAGAAGATTTTCATCATTCAGAGGGTTGGTTAGGTGGCTTTAAAAAACGGCATGGTTTGCGTCAATTTAAAAAGCAAGGTGAAGCTGAAAGTGCTCCTTCAGCTGAATCGATAGAAAGAGATCATTTTGCTTTACAACAGCTCCTTGCACCTTACAACCCTGAAGACATTTGGAATGGTGATGAAACTGGCCTATTCTGGAAGATGGAACCTTCTAGAGTTTTGGCACGTAATTCTCTATCAGGGCATAAAAAAGAGAAATCCTGTGTTACAATATTTTGTGCAACAAATGCAACCGCCAGTGAGAAAATGACGCTAATATTTATTCACAAATACAAAACTCCTCGTGTTATGAAAAACATTAATTATAAAAACCTTCCAGTTTATTACTTTTGGAATAAAAAAGCATGGATGCAAGTTAGCATTTTTAATGAAGTTCTTCTTAAACTCAATGAAATAATGAGATGAAAAAGACAAAAAATAATTTTTTTAATTGACAATGCACCAGTACATCTTATTTAGATGAAACTCGAGAAAAGTTGGATAGTATAGATGTGAAATTTCTTCCACCAAATACTACCACTAAACTTCAGCCTTGTGATGCGGGGATCATTCATTCATATAAGTGTCATTACAAACGCCTTTTCATTCAGAATAGGATTGATGCATATGATGATGTGCAGGACGGTATTGTAGAAGAACTTGCAGATTATACCATTTATGATGCTCTACAGAATGCAGCTGAAGCATGGTCAATAGTATCTTCTCAAACGATTTCAAACTGTTGGAAGAAAACGGGTATTCTTCCACCAAGTATTAACGAAACTGGAGAATTTCCTAATAATGATTCAGCATTTTCTGATGATAGGTATGCAAAATTATATAATATAATTTTTTTAAAATTAACATTAACTTCTATTTTTCTTAGTTTTGATATGGATATTGATGAACTTGAAGCGTTAATTTCCAAGCTTCCAAATAGTGATCTTAATGCGTATGAATACCTTAATGTTGAGGATGAGATGCCGAAAGGTGGGCTTACAGATTTTGAAATAGTTGATACTATACGAAATGCAGATAAGGAAGAGGAAGATATGATGGATGAGACTGAATTTACACCTATATCGGAAAAAGTGAGTCCAAAAGATGCAGAAAAGGCTATAGATAAAACTATAAAATTTTTGTATGAACAGGGACTGGAATTTGGTGATGTAAATGAAGAGTTAAAGGTTTTAAGAAAATTACATAAAAAAGTAAAACTTTTAGTTGTAAATAATCTTAAACAGCTTGATCTTCATTACTTCCAATATAATAATAATAATGTTTAAATAGCTGGTTAATAATTATAGTCGTTAATAAAATAATATTGTAGTACATCGCGCATTTTATTAACTTTAATTTAAATATAATGGTCATGTGCAGCTAAAACTATTGGATAAAATTTATATACCGAACAGTTCAGTATATAACATAAATATTATATATCGAATTCGTTATATACCGAACCAAATCTCTTGGAACGGCTGGTTCGTTATATCCAGTGGCGACTGTATCTATATTAAAACTTACTTAATGGATATTATGCTTATATTATTATATATTTTTTAATACTTTCTTTAAATTTTTATATGAAGAGAAGGCCTTTTTCTTTTTCTTGTATTTTTTAGCAAAACTTTACAAGTTTTTTTTATTAGCTTATCAGATATATATTTCTTATTTTTTAAACTTTTTCTCAAAGAAGTTATGACCATTAACTTCTTACATTTCTAAAATTTTAATAGCTATTTTGCTAAGTTCTAAATCCTGACTCTTTAAAAATTGATAAGATTATTTTATTTATATTTTTAATAATTTCATTCACTAGTAAAATTATTTTATATTCAGCATAATAGTAAAGATAGAAGTAGTTAAAGTATAAAATGTACTAAGATATAGTGATTTTATAGAAATATTTGGCTTAAATAAAAAATAGTGTTACATTCTAAAGTGAGTAAAAATTTATTTCTGAAAAAAAATAAGTATTAATATATTGTTATTTTGTCAACAATTAAAACCACTGAAAAATTTTAATATTTTAACAGATTAACTAGAGTTTAACTTAATAAGAAAGTCTTAAATTAACTACAAATAATTATGTGAAATAATGTTAAATATTCAGTTAAAGAAAAATAGGTTTTTATTAAAATAATGTAAGACTTTAAATATGATAAAAAATATAGATAATTTTTTGTTCACAAAATTAATTATCTTGAATTATACTACTGGAAATAATGCTCTTTTTATATAATTTAAATATTACAATACAATTCTTAACTACTGAACTATCTATCCCTTTAACTGAGTAAAATCCTAATATTATTTATAATAAAATTTAAAAATGAAAATAATTGATAAAATAAATAAAAGATGATCAAATGTATTTACTAATTAATAACAACTGGTGGTTTAGTTAGGTTTATAGAAAAATAAAAAATATTATTAACTATGTTATAATTGATCTAGCAACAGTATAATTAATCTTATTCTGGATTTATATTCACTAAATTTGAAAGGAAAAGAAAATGGAAATAGAAAAGAAAAACCAGTATAATTTAAATCAATAGATACAGTTGCTTCCAAAAAAAATGCAACATCCTATATCAATATAATTTTTATTATATAAATATTTTATTTTTTTTTTATATAAATTTAAATGTAACTTTTTTATATATTTGTAAAATTCCAATAATTATCATAAATTTATATTATAAAAATTATAATATAAAAGTACAATTTATTTTTACAATAAAAATTTGATCTATAATTTATATAAACTATTAATCAAGAGATATTTAATAAAGGTATATATATATCTTATTAGAATTTAAGAATTATGCATTTATATAATTCTGATCAATTTATATGTTAATATTATATTATACATTTATATTGGATATTAAGAAACTTCTTAATTAAGTATTTGAATATTAATTTATATAAATTAATTTATTTAATATTTTCAAAGATTTCAATTTATTTGAAATTAACTTATATATTCAAAGAATATTATATTTTATTTAAGATAAATTCCTATTAAATATAATATTATAATAATAAGCCATTTAAATTTCAAAATTCATTTTATATAATTCCAACTATTATAAGAAGGTTCTTAAAAATTTTTACTATCAGATTTTTTTATCACCAGTTTTTCAATTATTAATTCTGGAATCTTTAGTGTTTAATTTTATAGTTAATACAGTAAAAAATATAGAATACAAAAAATAAAATAGATTACCAGAATTATTGGATTATTTATTTTTGATTTATCATTTTAAATCATCTCTTTATAATAATATTCAGGTTTAAGATGATAAGACTGGAGTAGGAATCACTTGATCAGGAAATTTTATTTCATTGCATTTGTGCTAATAAATAGATATACGTATGGCAGAATTACCTTCCTCTATAATTTTTTTCACTGACATTTCAAATGTACCATTTTTTTTCAATTGAATCTAATATTATTATAAAAGTGATATATCAATTATTATTCTAATTGTTGGTCATACATGAGACAAATTCCATTTTATTTTTTTTTAAAAAAAGTAATATTGTAGTTTAATTTGTTTATATAGTAGATGAATTTCTTTTATAAAAAAAAAAAATATCTATTATTCGCGTTTATTCATTTCTATTAGATCTTGTATTTATTTTATTGTAAATTTCTAGATTATATAGTATAAAGATGAAAGGAAATCATAAGCGTACACAGAAAAAAAAATGTGAAATATGCTGAAAGACGAATTATATAGCAGTAAGTTGAAACCACTTTAAGGGTATGATTTGAATGTTTATTAATATCTACTTTATCTCATCTTAATTTCGATCCCAATTATCTAAAGCATCAAAAACCTTTCTCATGGAATCTTTGAAGTCTTTCAGATCCTCCGGAAATAACGTTTCAAATTTTTCTTTTAATTCTTTCGGTTCTAGTCGTTCTCTTTTATGAAACTCGGCGTTATTCTTTTTCTTCAAAATCATCAACAACTCGATGTCTTCAACAGTCATATTAATTTCTTGTAAAAAATTTCGCAACTTTGAAATATATTCTTCTTCATCTCGTTTAAAATCTACTTTTCTGTTTCTGAGTTTTCTATTAATAGCAGCTCTCACTTTAGCCCATACGTTGGCACCTAATCTTGCTTCAACTTCTACAAAAAAATCGGAGATAAAATTTTTGTAAAAGGATAAAGCTGATAAAGCTTCCATATTTTCAAACTTTTTTAAACCTTCTTCTAAAAGAATCACAATATCATTTGTGGCTGTTTTATGTTCTTCTATGATCCTACATATGTTTCCTGTGTTATCGTCTAGTTCCGCCCAATTTTTTCTACATTTATCCCAACCAACATCATCAATGTTATCCCACATCTCTTTTTTTATGTCTTTGAGAGTTTGTTAAAAAAGAAGATTTTTTTACATCAAGTTTTGAAATATGTTCGAAGTAACGTCATATAAGATTTTGTTTTATACAATTATGGTATAACTCGACCATAATGCACATGGCATCCTACTGATACAGTAAATACTCATTGTGATTTTCTGTATGAGTCATTAGATCGGTTAAACCAGTGATTCAGACTGTGAAAATAAATCCGAAATGACGTATTCTTATAAATTATTAACTATTTTTTTTATAGAACTTTGTGCTTTTGACGAGGGTGAGAAAATGTCTATAACTCCAATAATTGGTGATCGTAAAGGGTTTTCACGTTTTATGTTGCTGATATTTATATAAATATTGTTAAAGCTTCACTAGATCTCTGGTTATCCCTTATATACCCTGGAATGATTGATGGAAAAACAAGCATTATTTGTTGCAGTAAATCTGACAAGGGGAACACCAGTTTAGTCGAGTGTAAGAGTTGATTGATTACGGTGATACTTATAAACTAATCGTCTTTCTTGTAACATATACCAAGAGTTAGTATCGGCATACACATTAAGGTATTAAGACAAAAAATGGGGTTATCCAAAAAAAAACAATTCACCAAATTAATTGATAAGTGGATGAAAATTTTAAAAAAGTTCCCGATTGTAATTAATTAGATTGCATTATTTGCAAATGAACTTATTCTTTCGCATAAATGATAATTAAAAAATTTTTACTTTTTTACTTGTATTTTAATTTGTTAATTGGATTTATAGTAACGGGATTTAAAATAAATGGAACAGAAGATTGAAAAGTCCAAATTTTTAATTTTGATCATATGACATAATTCTGGCCAAAATTAAAATTGGATAAACATTTGTGAAAGTAACGTGAATGTTAAGTAGATTATTATATTTCAAAAATATTTGTTGCACTACAATTTATAGCACATTCTTTAATTGTTATAGCAACTGAATATATTCAAACAGCTTTTAGTATCGAACAATCATATCAAACATCGAGATTATACGTTGAATATGCAGTAACTATCATAAATACTAGAGTAAAGTAGCTAAGTTTGGATCTGGATTTAAAAAAATACACGTGAGTTCACGTTTTTATAATAATATGACTAGCCAAAATCATACTATTGATTGCGTGTAATATAGAACTTCGTGTATAAGCGCACCAATCAGGTTGGAAAAAAAATAATATGTATCACATTACATAAACAATTAGAAGAATACTGATGTGGTGATTGAAAAGGAACACGCACCAAATCATTATATTTTGAATATCTTTTTTTTTTGAATGCCACATCTACGTAACTCCGGAACCCTTGGATCCAATGCACCATACAATTTAGTTGTCAAAATTTCCCTATCCTATGAAAGATAAGTACATGGTTTATCTCACATGTAATCAACATCGCAGACACCGTGATCTCGTATCACCGATTTAAAGCTAGTTTTTAATATAGGCGAAATCACGAAATCTTTATTAATTTAGTCAAGTTAGAGTTAATTACAATATAAATTCTTTGACACGCGAATTTTATTAATTAAGAAAAAAAGGATAAGCTTTTGTATTCATTTAAACACGTATAAATATCATATGAAATTTTTTTAAAAAATTGATTTATCACGACATATTGTCTTATTTTTTCATAGAGATTACGTTGTTGTTGAAATTATTACCTTAAATAATCCAATTTTATATTATGTTTACCGTTCAAGTTTAGAATAATATAATCAAACAAAATTTTTTAAATATGATTAGTAAACTTTTTTTTTTTTCTTTTTCTTTTTTTTTCTTCTTTCGATTTCTTTTCTTTTTTGTTGACATTCCTCCTACTGACACAAATTTTCTTTCGATTTCTTTTCTTTTCTTTTCTTTTTGACATTCCTCCTACTGATCTCCTACCGATCTCCTTACCGATCTCCTACACAAATAAATCTATTATAAATCTCCTAAAAAGCAATATAATGTCAAAACTTAATAAAGATATTCTTACTATAATATTTTATGAAATATTTTATGAATATGATTATAATTCACTCTTTTCATGTTTATTAGTAAATAAATATTGGTGTGAAACAGTAATACCAATATTATGGAGAAATCCATGGCGTTATCAAATGAAAGATTATCAAAAGAAATCATTATTTAATACTATTATAACATTTTTATCAGATGAATCAAAAGAATTTTTAAAAAATCAAAATATTATGATACCTTTTAAAAGAAAATCAAAAAAGAAAAAATTGATATTTTTTGATTATTTAAAATATTGTAAATCCATGATTAATTATAATCTTTATGATATTATTAATTATAATTATAATATTATAAATAATAATGATAATAATAACAATAACAACAATAATAATAATTTAATGAATGATTATTATAGATATATTTTACAAGAAGAAATTTATAGACTTTTGATTTATAAATGTCCACCATTAAAATATCTTGATATAACATTCATACAACAACAAATTGATTTATTTCCTGATTCTAAAAATTGGCTTTCAGAAATTTTAGAATTAAGATGTAATGGAGACATTGAACCTCATTATTTTCAAGGATTAGCAAAATTTTCTCAAAATATAGAAAAAATTATTATTAATTCAATTAGAGACGATAATTATGGATTGGCAAAATTAATTGAAGTTCAAAAGAATTTAAAATATTTTAAAATTATAAGAGATGCGGATGTGGATTCAAGAAAGGATACATTTATGACAATCAATCATGGATTAATAAAACATACAAAATCTTTAATAGAATTTAAAGCAATTTTTGAAGGTATATTATTTTTACCAAATCTTTTACCAAAAATGGTAAATTTACGAAAATTGAAATTATTTGTTAGAGAACTTGATCAAAGATATGAAGATCAATTAAAAATTTCAAGTTATCCAAATCTTGAAATTCTTCATATAAAAAATATTTCGATTAATACTTTGATAAATTTAATTGAAAAGACTAAAGGTAATTTAAAAGAAATTTGGGTTGATGAATATAAATTAAGTGATAATATTGAAAGATTGATTCGAATAATTTATGAAAATTGTTCTAAACTTGAAATATTATCTATCATTCTTTATAATCATGATTTTATAGAATTTGAAAAATTACTTCATTCTTGTCTTTATTTAAAAGTATTATATATTAAAGTATTAAGTATTGATGGGAATGAGGAAGAAGATAGAAATATTTTATCAGAAATTTTAAAAGATTCTGCACCGATTTGTTTAAACAACATAACATTTTTAGAATGTTAAATTTGGTGGCGATATAGGCGATAATGGCGATAATGGCGATAAGATCAAATTTTGTGCGATAATTATCAAATTTCATAATTATCAAATTTTGTGCGATAATTATCGATAATATCAGATTTCCTAGCGATAATTATCGATAATATCAAATTTCCTAGCGATAATTATCTTTTATCATGTGATTTTTATATTCTAGGGATACTATTTTCTCAGTTTCTCAAATTTGGTTATTTTTCGAGCCAATCAATTTTTTTTTTAGCCACACTTTTGAACTTGTCATCGTGTTATCAAATTATCAAGTTGGCGTAAGTTGTTTGACATAAATTAAAAATTCGTAGTTGGTGACACTGCAGTTTTATATTCTAAAAAAAAAAAATTATTTATCAATTTTTATTCGTTAAAAATAAAAATATCCAATAATATTTTTAAACGGGTTTATATTTCCTTATAAAATTTTCTATATAAAGATTAAAAGGGAAAATTTTCTTTGTTTCTGTGACATATTTCACATATTCATACATCATATTACGGAATATTGATTATTACTCCGATAATTATCAATAGATCCCTATGTGGTCTAATTCATTTTTATTCTATTCATTCATGTAAGGTTAATTTTTTACTGGCGCGAATTTTTTTTTACTAAAATATTATTCTGTAAATGTTAAATAAAATGCAAATGTTTTAAATGTTTTTATCTCTGTAAATGTTAATAAAGAAAAATATATATAATGTATAATTTATTATGAATGAATAATATATAATAATGTATAATAATTTTATAATGTATAATGTATAATGTATAATGAATGTAATGTATAATGTATAATGAATGTATAATGTATAATGAATGTATAATGTATAATGTATAATTAATGAAAAATTGTAAAATTGAAAATTCATATATTTTACATATTTTTATTCCTGACTTGACATACTGTATAAATTATTTGTAAGGTAATGCCCATGAGGCTGACTAGTTGAGAGAACAAAGAAAAAAATTCTTGGCACCGAAAAGAAAGTATTAGAAAGTATTGCATTAAAAGAAATTTGCACTAGAAAAGTATTGCATTAAAAAAAAAGAAAAAAAAAAGTTTTGCATTATTTGCATTATTTGCATTATTTGCATCAAAGAAGATTTGCATTAAAAAGAGAAAAAAAAAAAACCAAATATATTTCATTATAATTTTCCAAAAAAAAAAAAAATAAAAAACAAATTTCAAACAAATTTTAAAACAAAGAAATATAATTAATTACTAAATGAATTTATTCTTATTATTTTGACTAAAAAAATATTTTTTTCTATTATTTGTTTCTATTTACTAATGTTTCAGCCCGGGATGATAATCCATTAAGCCATCAGGATGTGATAATCCCATTTTAGAATAAAGAGACAATAAGACAATAGCGGAATAATGACGGATCTCTAACGGATCAACCCGGGGGTAAGGAATTTATGATTTTTAAATTACTAAAATTATGTAAATTATGAAAGAAGGTCATATGAAAGAAATTTTATGTGGAAACTATGTGATCATGCGATATCGGATTATAATCATTATAATCATTATAACGGTTCAGGAAAACTATTACCAAAGGAGTAAATTTGATGATTGTTTACATAAACAAAATTTCGGCACAGCAAACAAATAAAAGGGCTTGGAAACGTTTAACCGGTTACAAGAAGGGTACAGTCCGAATTAATTATTTTTTGTGATACCCTGTAAAATTTTGACAATAATAATTTTTTTTTTTTTTCCCTTGAAAAAAAAAATTTTTATTTTAATAAATTTAGAATGGGTATAATATTTTTTTTAAAAAAAATAAAAAAATGTCAATTTAAAATCAATTAAAAACAAACCTAAATAGTATTTTCTTTTTATTCTTTATTTAATTTAAAAAATATTTCTTTTTTATAATAAATTATAGAAATTCTTTTTAAGAAATTTCAATCTTGTCTTTCAAATTTCGGTCATAATAAAAAAGCAGTACCATCAAAATATTTTAATCAATTGACAGTTGAAAAAATAATTATATAATATAAATATATATGCTATAAAAAAAATGTTGTGCTTTCGAAATGAAAGACGTGCGACTTAAAGATGTGTCGGATATTAATTAACGCATTCCGATATACACATGAATAAAAAAGAATTTCTAATCTTTTATTCTTTTTTTTTTTTTATTTTCAATCATGCCTTAAACTGTTTCGACACATCTTATGCAGTTACATGATAAAATCTTTCTAAATAAGTGTATATTTTTTGAATAAGTAAAAATAAGTAAAAATAAGTACAAATTTATCATTTTTCACATTTTTCACATTTTTCACATTTCACATTTTTTCAATTATGCAATTCCTTACATGACGTTTTATTTGTACAACCAACGCTTTTCTCATCATTGTCTCATCAGATCACGCGACAATTTTTGTGACACCGTGCGGGTTTTTTTCAAAAAAAGATCGTTTCGTACTTTCGTTACATTCTTCCTTTCAATGAATGAATTTTAATTATAACATTAACAGGTTAATTGATATTATTAAAAAAAAAAGTAGTCAAACCATTATAATTTTACACAATGTAATCAATTTATTATAAATATTTATTTTATTTGTCTGTATCACTATTATAATTTCTCGTACAGAAAGATAGGGATGTACGGATCACTCGGATCATGCTTAAAAAGAAATTGGATAATCTTTATTTATGATATTTTTAACATTGTAAATATTGTAAATATTGTAAATATTTCAAAAACAACAATTAACACAAATTTTTTTAACATGAATGATTTTTTTGTTTATTTGAAAAAAACTACGGAAAAAAATTGTAATTTACAAAAATAAATACGGTTTTATATAAGTTATATAAGTTATATATAATAAAAAAAAGAAAAAAAAGAAATTCTATATGCTATATATATAAATTCAAATGTTATATGCTATTTATAAATCTGTAATTGCCCAACCAATAACAGGGGAAACGATTATTTCATCATTTTCTAAATGAATTTCTTGCTTTGTACCAAAAAAACCTGAAACTATTTTAATATTAGGAGAATTATTTGAATCAACAAATGGAATTGAAATTTTACCGTCAGGAATATCAAGTACTTTAATACAATTACCATCTAAAGGTTTATTACCTTTAGCATACGGAAAAAAAGCGGGTATCCAGCCCGTTAATGTAACATTATTACCTTTTAAATCTATATTATTATCACCTTCTTGACCAAAATTTATCTCAGTAGCTATAGTATTCCAAAAATTTAAATCAATATCACCTTTATAAGTTGAAATGAATTGATTAAGTACAGGTTCTAATCTATCTAACCAAAAATCTAAATCTAAAGATAACTTTTTTAATGTAATGACTTTTTCTTGAATTTTTAACCAATCATCTAATGTACCGTCAAGAGTTATTTTATGAATACCACATATATCTGAAGAATTTTTAATGGTTTCATAAGTTGAATTAGAATGAACGGAATTCAATAATACTAAATCACTTGAAATTTTACTAGAATTTGTACTAGTAGAAAAATTACAAGATAATAAATCTTTTATAGTAATAAGTTCTTTCATTGCAAGGTTTAATCTACCAAATAATTTAATCCAATGATTTTCCTCATTATCATATAATAAATCTCCTCCATAGATTTCCACCCTTTTTTGACCTTGATGATTTACAATAATCGGTCTATATTTTTCCGAATTATTATTAATATGTTGAGAAATTCCTTGAGCGATAATTAACCATACGTCATCTGGTTTTAGAAATAAATGTTGATTTGATGAATAAGCTTGTAATATTGCTGCTGCAAATCCATTTGTACAATGAGAAGCGGATATAACTTTAGTCGGCAAATTTCCTGATTCGAAATCCGTCCATAATGCATGGATTTTTCTATTATTAAATTCTACCGTTAGTTTATCTTGGATTAATGTATGCTCAACCAGTTCATTTACTTGTTTACGATATTCGTTAAGTATTTGAGTACTACGATAATTTGTTCTAACAGAAGAAGGCATGTTTATTTATTATTATTTTATTTTTTATTTTTTTTTTGTTTGATAGAAAAAAATTTTATTAAAGAATAAATTAAAAAAAAAAAAAAAA